AAGTTTGTTTTTTCATGAAAATAATCCCTTCCTGGTTTAAAATGGCCTTAAAGTCTCTGCTCCTTTCTTTGTTTGAATTATTGGAAGTCTGATTCTGTCGCCTGTACGCTGCAGCTTCTATGAGAACATAATCAGCTGTGAGGTTCTCTCATCATATGTTTTCTCGCATATTAAAAAAAACCCACCATGTTACATGTTAACAAGGTAAAAAAAACAAAACATTAAACTCTAATAAATAGTCGCCTTTTTTTCTTTACCTTCTGCAGGTGAGAGCTCACCGATCGTGACTCAGCCTCAAGCAGCCAACGGCACCTCAGAGCACGGAGCCATCCAGATGCCCTGGAAGGAGGAGAGCTAAACAAGCCAGTGGGTGATGGAGTCGGGTAGATCCAGACGGCTTCAGGGTCTGGATGGCATCGTAGAACCAGGTTATCATCAGCGGCGGCGGCGGTGCTGAAGACCAGTATATATGCAGTTTGTGTCTGATGTGCAGAAAACATTCATCTCAGAGGCTTATTTGTTTACATGAATCAACCAGCGCTGTGATTGTGCCATAGTTAGTTTTTTATTTTAAGCCAGTGGTTTCATATTTATCTTTTAATTCCTTTATTTCTGAACTTTGGGCAGCAGAGACGAAGCCATGCAGATCAAAGCCTCCGATGAGCTCTTGATTAGCTATTTTGTGCACTTTAAACTCACAAGTTCATATCGAAAATCCTAAAAAAAAAAAAAAAAGCCTCAATGGTCTGTGAACGTCCCTGCCCAAAGTTCAGAAATGTTTTAATTATTATTTTTTTCTTTTTGTTTTTTTTCCAACAGGCTGATTCAGGTTTTTAAGGTTGTTTCAGACCAAACAGTGTCTGGTCACAGTGCACATAGAGACACACTGTAGTCAGAAAATAAAGGGCTTCCTGACATAGCAGACCTCCACGAGAATAAATAAAGGTATAAATGTTGTTGCACATTTAGCTGACAGCTTGTAAATACATCAGAGAAGATTGATTTTGTGATATTTAAGGAATAACGCATTTTAAAAGAGCCGTTCAATCCCCTTCCTTCTGAGAGTTAGGCGAGAACATTGATTGTCACGTTTGTGCTTTTCCGCTTTAACTTTATGTGAAATGGAAGAGAAAGAAAAATCCCATGGTAGTGCCGTCAAACCGAACCATAATCACAAAACAACCGCTGCAATGTGGCACATATTAATGGAAGTAAACAACAGGATGCATCATGAGACGTCTACATATATATATTAACATGCCACAAGTGTAGTTTTGTCATCATGGCTTGCTTTGACGTGAGCAGTATTTGGAAAACTGGTGCGTACAGATAGCTGGGATGGGCCTTGAACGCAGCATTCGGCACAGAGCAGAAGCCAGGAAGCGACTAGCTTAGCTCAGGGAGGAAATAGCAAGCTTAAAACCTCCTCAAGCTCACTTTCTGGTGGCGTTGCAGTAATGTTTTCTTTCAGGAAAAAAAAACAAAAACAGTTTCCCTGTTGCAAGTCTTGAGGTTGTTAGCCTAGCTTAGCATTAGGAGGGGAGACAGCTAGCATGGTTCTGCTGACTTTCTGGAGTCCAATCTGCAGGATAGTTCCATTGCTCAGCTTGATATGGTTTGTGATTAAACAGTGGAGATACTTGCTGATTAGTTTCCAGTCTTTATGCTAAGCTAAGCTAGCTGCCTTCAGACGAGTGACACACAAAACGTGGGATTGATACCAATGTCCTCCAGTTCTTTTAAAGAAAGTGAGCGAGTCTTTTAGTAGTGCTGCTGTTGGTTAGTCCGCTGCACATAAGGCAAGATAGTTAAGGTTTAAGACGTACTGGTTAACAGGTACCCTTTCTGCGCTTGACACTAAAGCCAACAGTGTGAAATTCTTCAGTTTTTGATGAATTGCCAATTTTTTTAAACAGAAGAATCAAGACAATATTTTCTCTGTGGTGTTTGGGATCAATATTATTATTATGATGTAAATTCTGAGCTATATTTTTGATTGGAGGTTTTATGACAAATTGAGTGTATATTAAGATAAAGAATTAAATTATACCATCTTTGTTCATATTATATTTTTCTATTCCTGCTTCGTTTTCTCCGCATTTTGTACGACGATATCGCTCATGCTGTTCTTCATGGACAGCAGTGACAGTCTGATGTAAACTTCTGGACAATCCCAGTGTCTCGTGTATTTAAACGTCTCTTTGCACTTTTCTGTGCCATAAATCATACTTGACAAACTTCACAAAAGTGCCTCAACATATTTTCGTGAGATTTTTTTTCTATTCTTTCCACTTTTACCTGCTTCGAAACTGTGTAAATTTTTAAAATTCCTGCAAAATGAATGTCAATAAATTTGGATTATACTGGAAAATGAGCTGGAGTTGTCATTTCACAGCAGCTCTTTGCTTATTAAGCTGCTATTGGCTCCTGTCGTGCTCCACCCTCGACAGATAACCTGTGTGTTTTAGAACAGGTGGTAGGTTGCCAAGCTTCACTTTAACACTGGTTTACACGTAGTATTAGAGAGTCCCTGACATGCAGTCAACTGACATTATGGAGTTCTCAGCGGATTCAGAGAAGCAACGTCTGATTGAAACTCATTTGGAGCATCTTATATGGTACGTCTTCAATCTTTCTACCCTCATAGAAACTCAAAGTCAGCACGGATGCTTTTCGATTGCATATCTGAAGTGTAGACTTTCTGTCTTCTGTCAGGACGAGTCCTCCAGAAGAACAGTACTCAGACTCAGAGTTCAGTGAAGAAACGTCCAGCGTGGACGGCTTGTGGCAGCCCGAGTGGTTCTGCCAGGAGACGACTGCCATGTCTGAAAATCACACCAGAAGTTTGGCCAGAAAGAAACTCTACGTCGCCTGCGCTGTCAGCCTCGTGTTCATGACCGGGGAGGTGATTGGTACGACGCAAGGCTGATTTCCTGCCTCAGATGTGTCTGAAATTCTGGATAAATGTAGTTTTTCTATCCTGAATTGTACTTTAATTTGTCCTTGCAAGCTGTCAGCAACTTAACCTCCCTTTTTATTTTGCTCCAGTCACATTTTTAGTCAGCATGTGTTCATTTTTCACTGCAGTATAAAGTCCTGCACCTCTACGGAAACAGAACAGACGTGACTAGAAGTAGAGAGAACTCAGAAATATCTTTTGTGCAGTATGACACAGTTCTAACGCCATAAAACCTTAAAAAGCATTATTTATTTTACAGAAATTTCTAAAACCTCCATGTGCAACATTTTTTCCACCGGTGTTACCAGAACTAGAAATAAATTGACTTTTGTGTAAAACAACCTGCAGTTCACCTAAAAGTTCCTGATTTTTTGTCAAGTCACTGCTGGTTGCAGCTGAGTCACATAAGGCTTTGCAATTGTGCCAAAGTCCATGAAAGTTTTAGTATTTTACAGAATCTGGTTGCTGATTTTTTTAAACAACAAATGTAAAGTGATATTAAATATGATTTTAAGCCTAAATTTGGATAATTTTCTTAACAGAGTGGCAAGAATCCAACTATTCTCTGATAAATGGTGTAATTTTGCCATTTAAAAAAAAAAAGTAACGTGTACTTCAATGCTGGCAGGTTTTGGGTTTCTCCAGCTGTTCAACAACCTGCCAGATGTGAAGTTTAAAATATAAAGAGCTCAGTGTCCTAAATATGTGAAAACAGCTTGGGCTTTGAGAGTTTACATTCCTGCAAAGCCTGTTGAGCAACACAAAGTTGTCTTTCTGGCCTTAAAGTCTCGACTTACCTTCCTCCTCTGGCTGGTAAATACTTCTACCTTTTTTCAGTTCACACACATGCACAGGTGCTTCCTTACAGCGGTTTGTCTTCTGTGCAGGTGGATACGCTGCCCACAGTCTGGCCATCATGACGGACGCAGCTCATCTTCTGACGGACTTCGGCAGCATCATGATCAGCATCTTCTCTCTGCGGATCTCATCCAGGCCCCAGACACAGATGATGACCTTTGGATGGCATCGAGCAGGTGGGATCGAGCTACAAAACAAGTGGTTTGACAGTTGGTTTGTCTACTTTGGTTTGCGTTGCTTCTGCTAACTTTGAAATGTGTCTCAACGGGCAAAACTCACCCAATGTTCTTCTGCTGGCTTCAAGAGTGAACACAAGAGTCTTCATGCACTGCCAGCATCTGAAGAACTGACGACCCAGTTGATTCATTTCATCATTGATTTCAATGTTGCCCAACAATGTTGTGTGGCTAATGTGGGTACCATTAGCTTCAACCGTTTGCCCACAAGTCGGAGCTCTGGGGAAATTTTAAAGCTGAGGGACATTTAGAGCTCTGTGGAAACTTTAAGAGCAATTAGTCCTGGACTCATGCATTCGTTGAGGTCTAAGTCTGCTGCCATGTGGTCAGCTGTTTAGCTCTGCGCTGTCTGTCACAGCTGCAGAGAGTCTTCTTCCTGAAGGGGTCGTGGACAG